TCCAGATCACTCTGCTTTGTGTGTAAATTAGCTTTAATCCAGATCACTCTGCTTTGTGTGTAAATTAGCTTTAATCCAGATCACTCTGCTTTGTGTGTGAATGATGTTTAATCCAGATCACTCTGCTTTGTGTGTGAATTAGCTTTAATCCAGATCACTCTGCTTTGTGTGTAAATTAGCTTTAATCCAGATCACTCTGCTTTGTGTGTGAATGAGCTTTAATCCAGATCACTCTGCTTTATGTGTGAATGAGCTTTAATCCAGATCACTTTGCTTTGTGTATAAATGAGCCTTAATCCAGATCACTCTGCTATATGTGTGAATGAGCTTTAATCCAGATCACTCTGCTTTGTGTGTGAATGAGCTTTACTCCAGATCACTTTGCTTTGTGTATGAATGAGCCTTAATCCAGATCACTCTGCTTTATGTGTGAATGAGCTTTAATCCAGATCACTCTGCTTTGTGTGTGATTGAGCTTTAATCCAGATCACTCTGCTTTGTGTGTAAATCAGCTTTAATCCAGATCACTCTGCTTTGTGTGTGATTAAGCTTTAATCCAGATCACTCTGCTTTGTGTATGATTTATCTTTAATCCAGATCACTCTGCTTTGTGTGTGATTGAGCTTTAATCCAGATCACTCTGCTTTCTGTGTGAATGAGCTTTAATCCAGATCACTCTGCTTTGTGTGTGAATGAGCTTTAATCCAGATCACTCTGCTTTGTGTATGAGTGAGCTTTAATCCAGATCACTCTGCTTTGTGTGTGATTGAGCTTTAATCCAGATCACTCTGCTTTGTGTGTGAATGAGCTTTAATCCAGATCACTCTGCTTTGTGTGTGAATTAGCTTTAATCCAGATCACTCTGCTTTGTGTGTGAATGAGCTTTAATCCAGATCACTCTGCTTTGTGTGTGATTGAGCTTTAATCCAGATCACTCTGCTTTGTGTGTGAATGAGCTTTAATCCAGATCACTCTGCTTTGTGTGTGAATGAGCTTTAATCCAGATCACTCTGCTTTGTGTGTGAATGAGCTTTAATCCAGATCACTCTGCTTTGTGTACGAGTGAGCTTTAATCCAGATCACTCTGCTTTGTGTGTGAATGAGCTTTAATCCAGATCACTCTGCTTTGTGTACGAGTGAGCTTTAATCCAGATCACTCTGCTTTGTGTGTGAATGAGCTTTAATCCAGATCACTCTGCTTTGTGTGTGAATGAGCTTTAATCCGGATCACTCTGCTTTGTGTGTGATTGAGCTTTAATCCAGATCACTCTGCTTTGTGTATGAATGTGCTTTAATCCAGATCACTCTGCTTTGTGTGTGATTGAGCTTTAATCCAGATCACTCTGCTCTGTGTCTGAATGAGCCTTAATCCAGATCACTCTGCTTTGTGTGTGAATGAGCTTTAATCCAGATCACTCTGCTTTGTGTATGAATGTGCTTTAATCCAGATCACTCTGCTTTGTGTATGAATGTGCTTTAATCCAGATCACTCTGCTTTGTGTATGAGTGAGCTTTAATCCAGATCACTCTGCTTTGTGTATGAATGAGCTTTAATCCAGATCACTCTGCTTTGTGTGTGATTGAGCTTTAATCCAGATCACTCTGCTTTGTGTGTGATTGAGCTTTAATCCAGATCACTCTGCTTTGTGTGTGAATGAGCTTTAATCCAGATCACTCTGCTCTGTGTCTGAATGAGCCTTAATCCAGATCACTCTGCTTTGTGTATGAATGTGCTTTAATCCAGATCACTCTGCTTTGTGTATGAATGTGCTTTAATCCAGATCACTCTGCTTTGTGTATGAATGTGCTTTAATCCAGATCACTCTGCTGCTTCATTCTAGACTTTCTCGTCTACTGTAGCTGTTTTAATCTGTGTTGTAGACGGGGTTGTGGAGCGGGATCTGCGTGTGCGCCTGACGCTGCAGGACTCTGAAGCTCCAGATCAGAGCCTCCAGGTTTATCTGGATCTTTCCCACACTCCCTACATACCAGGACTCCTCGCCGGGGCAACAGTACTGCTGCACCACTTTCAGCGCAAAGTGTCTGTGTGAGTTAGTCTGCAGCTGCAGCGGCTCGTAACTGTCCTTTAGCAACAATCTGGTCTGAACTCAGCGTCTGATATGTTGATTATTGGGCTAAGCAGAGATTTTGTCAGGTGCACTCAGGCTACATTCGTGTGTATGAACCTCCAGTCCGAGCCGAAACACGACCCCACTGTGTCTGTATAACTTCACTATGAATGAGTGAAGTTAAACTGTAATTAACTGTAAAAACTTTATCAGTGTTCACTAGTACATCAAATTGTCAAACTGTTTCACTTTAAAAAGCGGAGAAGATTCAGTTTTTCCTGATATGGGCCCTTAAAAGCTAGAGAGCTCCTCACACCAGGGTTATTGTGGGTAATGAAAACTATAATGAAAATGAAAACTTGCAGTGAAGAAATCAAAACACGCACTACAGTTTTTAACAACATGAAAACAAAACCGAAACTATAAAATCCACTGCAGAATAAACCAAGACTAAATACTGTGACTGAAAAAAGTATGTTTTAGAATTTTCAGTGTCTGAGGGACAGTCCAGACCTGGATTCCTATGTCAAAGCCCTAAATATTAAGGAGATAGCGGACTCTTCCTTTTTAGAAAATGAAAACTAAACTAAAACTCTTAATGCACTCTTAAAAACTAATAGGAACTGAACTGAAATTGAAAAAAAAACTAAGAATTAAATGAAAATGTCCAAACTGTAATAACGCTGTAATAACGCTGCCTCACACACTTATGAAGTGGTGCGTATGCAGAGTTGCTCTGTGATGAGGGAACCGTGCTGTTCTAGGACTCTTCTTTGAAAAACTAAAGTTGCTCCCACTCAGACGACTGCAGGCTGTGTGCCTCACTCTGCAGTGCCTGATGTGACTGATACATGTAAACAGTGTGTTCAGTAAAATAAAACAACTCCTAAACTTACAGACACTCACGAGCTGCAGGGTTTACACTCCCATTCGCAGAATTTGCAGAATTCTGCCTGTAATTTACTTGTAATACTAAACCAGTAGGTACAGTTATGAACACAGGAATAGATAAGTGTGATTAGTTGACTGATGAATGTTTAGTTGACCTGTAGTTGAACATGTTATGATTGTAGTCAGTGTATAATGTGATATACACATAGTAATTCATATATATGTGTGTGTGTGTGTGTGTGTGTCTCAGTGTGCGGAACGTGTACTGCTGCTCGCTGCCCATAAGCTGTGTGACGGTCACTGGTTTCGGGTGAGTGACGCTCTGATGTCTGATGTTTGGGTCATTCAGAACTCTTTCCATACTACAGAGTTTCTGTAGTACATTTGTGCAAAATCATAGTTTGTAAATGCTTAATAACTGTATAAAAATGTGCTCATTTACTGAACACAGAGTAGCATTAATGTTCAATGCTGTTATTTTTGAGCACTTTTAAACTAATAGGACTTTATAACAGGGTCTTATTTACATTCATCAGTGAGCATGAACCGCTGCACTCAGCCAATGAGCTGATCAGCTCACCAGCCAATTAGCACTCAGCACACAGCTCAGCAGTAATTCTGATGTTCTACCGTCAAAACGTGTTTTAGGAAAACAAAAGGAAACGGGTAAATTTTTTATATACTAATATAAGGAATAATATAATTCGTTATATAAGCGCCCTCTAGTGTTGTGCTGTCATGATTTTGGTATAATGGTATGAATAAGAAGAGGCTGGAACATATACTGACTCTGGCTAATGCTCATTAGTTTGTAATATTGCTTGTATTGTTTGTGTTGATCCATTATAATATATTGAAACACACAAACCTGCTGAGGCTCTATGTGGCTATTTTATGGCCTCTGTTTTTACCTTCAATTTTAAGGTTTTTATTAGTTTTGTTTGTTTTTTCCTGTGTGCTTCTCTCTGAAGGTCACTTAAGCCCCGCCCTCCCCCTCCTATGATGCACCTGGGGCGATGGGCGCCAGCCAGGGCTGAGCAGAGCATCGTGGGTCGGGTCAGAGCTCACGTGGTCTGTGTCCTGTCTCTGCAGCTGAAGTGGGTGTGTTCTCTCTGCGGGAGCGTTTCCAAACAGGTACGACTGGTTATTGGTCCGAACTAATCGATGAGTTAATGAAATTATGATTACGTTCATCTGAAAAAGCAGAAGTGCCACCTGTCTGTGGACACAGCAGTATGGATAGATCTGTAGAGAAGGTCTGACCACTTCAGGGACTGAAAAACTGTTGTCTGTCATTTTTAGTTAATCTGTAATGAATATAATCATCATGTTTGCTGTATTTAAGCTCTGCAAGGAGTCAACCAATCACGCTTTGATTCACAATGAGACCAGTTTTGGGAAAAGAATCACTCTAGCACTCTTTCTGAAGGTTCTAGATAACAGACTGTGAATACGAGTCATAGTCTAAGCAGTGTTCCGGTTAGTTATGAATGTTAAACAGTGGCTGCAGCTCTATGCAGGACTCTTTACTGACGGAGACACTGTAAACACTGAGACACACAAGCTCAGATATATGATAATGTTTGTTACAAAATTCTAATTAAACATATGGAATGACTTTTATAAGCTTTAAATGTCTGTGTTTAATCTAGAACAGCGAAAAAAGTTCATATGCACCAGCTTCAGCTTTGTGCTAACTAGGGGTGCAACGATTATTCGACTTAGTCGGCTAAAATCGACGACCAAATTAGTTGGCAACTAATTTAGTAGTCGATTGGTTGGTGACGTCATTACGCGTCTTTCTCACGCTCACTAGGAATGTTTTGACATTACCGCTTACTGTAGACTTAACAACAGAGCCATGGCAGCCTCAAGAACAACATCCTCAAAAGTGTGGGAGCTAAACTCAGAAAAAAGGTTGTAGTTGTGCTGTTTGTAAAGCTGAGCTTAGCTGGCACAGAGCACGTCCTCCATGCTGGAGCATCTGAACGGGAAACTCTTCGTCTCACTGGATGAAGAAGAAGATCAGTAAGATACGCCGCGTCCCAAACCGCATACTAGCTCACTAAATAGTGTGTAAAAATAGCGCATATACCATTAGAAGTGCACTCATTGGTGTAGTGTGTAAAGAGCAGAAGTGTGTGGTTTGGGACACAGCGATAGTTCTGCTCACGAGCTGGTTGGCTAATGTTAGTGCTAAAACATCTGAAACATCTATTCTGAAATGCTGCTCTCTGGAATCGTTAATGGAGCTGAAACAGAGGAGCAAGTAACTATGATTCACAGCGACCCTGTTCACTTTCCAGATAACGTTTACAGTTTTACACTGCATCGCTGTCTCAGTGTCGAGGCCTCCGGTGCGTTCAGACTCAGCGAACGTAGGAGAGCGATTCCAAACAGGTTTCTGTTCTCTGCGAACGTTTGCCACCACTTGCTAGCAGTTTAAGGAGGCAGCTCTACAGGAACATATAGGGCAGCTGGACGAAGGGTTAATGTTGAAATTAAATGTTTCAAAATCGTTCAAATTTAACTGTTCAAACAGAACAAGTTCGCCACAAACGTTCGCCACCTTCCCCTCCGCTCCATCAGAGCGCGTCTCCTCTGCAGCGGAGAATATCTGCTCTCAGAGGAGAGCGAGACTCACAGGAGCACAGAGACAAGCTGACTTTACTCCGTTTAACTAAAGACCGGTTATTGTAGAATTTAGTTTCAGCAGAGTTTAGACAGACGACAGAGCACAGAGCACAGACTGCACTGTTCAAATTTAGTTTTAAATTTAGATTGATTTGTTTATTTACTTGATTAAAGGAAAACTGATTTAGTTTTGTTATATTTTGTTGCTGCTACTTTGCACATCCTTGGTTTTCAATTTTGACAGGAAAAGATATTGGAGTTTTATCTTTTGTATTAGTAGTAATAACAACAGTGAATTTTTTAAGAAGTTATTCATTTTTACTGTCTTCATTGTTAATTAGCACATGCATAAAACAACCTCAAGCAAAATTTAAAAGCTAATAGCTACATAAGAGTCATTTGGTAATGTAATGATCTATAATCAGAATAATCGATTATTCATTTCAGTAATTGATAGATTATTCTACTGTCAAATTAGTTGTTTGTTGCAACCCTTGTTGCTAACATACTATTAGAAATCCCATAGAGCCACTAGCACAAATTAGGAAATTATCATTATCATTGAGGTGTTTTTTTGTGTTGACCAAGTTTTGACATTTATGGTTAAACAGAAGGTCTAGCTCCAATATTCACGGTTTGTCACTGTTAACTAAGCATTTTCAGCAATATATGAACTAGTATTGTATAAATTTTTATTAATTTAGTAGGTAAAAGGCTTGATGTCAGTCTGATGGTGGTGTCTGGTCTCCGTAATGGCTCCATCTCACATTCACACTCACAGTTAAACTGGTTTTGTTTGTTCTCCTCACAGGCTGTCTGCACGAGGAGCTGCCCTCCGTGTGACTCCACCACTGCAGTGTTCCAGGCGGAGGCAAAGTGAGTGATTTAAGTCAAATATTTGAATTTGAATCACATAAAAACCAAATTTCTGTCACTTTTTTAAAATAAGAGATACAATACATAAACATACAGGACAGCTAAGCTGCTCCTCTTTGAATTCACTTCATTTGTTACATCACGAGAATCAACTCATTTACATATATTCGCCTCTTCAGTTTACAGCGGTTTTAGCTCCGCCCATTCGCACTGAAGTTATAAGGAGTGTTTGATCCTGGACTGCTGCTTGAATGAGGCTCAGTAAATCTGATCAAAGCTCATTTACATTGTAACCAGCACCTGGACAATTCAACCCTTTAATAAATGGAACCGTAATGGTAGCTGATAGGGGTTCCACTGGGAACGCTTTTACAGCCAGTTTTGAGCTGAACAACCTTTTACAACAGCAATGGCAGCATTTAATGTACTGTTTCACTCACACTTTGTGGGTCTGTGTGTACCTTTATGCAGATTATGAGTCCTCATTGGCTTGTCTTTCCTCTCTGAGCTGAAATGAAGTGAAGCGTGTTTGTGTGCAGAGTGGCTGTAGAAGACGGTACCGGTGAGGCGCAGGTGTGGTTCTCCACGGAGACGGTTGCTGAGCTGTTGTCGCTGGCCGTGACTGAGTGGGAGGGAATACAGAGGCATGTCAGGGTCAAAGGTCATCTCAGAGTGTACGCACGTGGCCGGAACATGGCGAGTATTTTTCCAACACAGTCCACTTCACTGCTGCCCCACAAACTCTGACGCCGACTTTACCTGGTGAAACTTTCTCACTGGTGCAGGTTTGACAGCTTCCATGTAAACATGCTGTCAGACAGTTAAGAGAGAATCAAAGTCACACGCAGCACAAATATTACACAGATTCACAAGATAAGGAGCTGTTATTGTTCATATATCACCGTTCTATGATTATGAAATAGTCTTTGATGTTTTATTTAGCCTACATTTCCATCTTGATATCATTTTTATTTAAAGACAGGCGAAAAATAATAAACCAGCTCTGTGGATCATAATACAGCAGACTAACAAAGCAGAGCAAAGACTGACCCATACTTTTATATATTATATATACATTTATAAACACTGTGTCCACTCACTGTCCACTCTATTAGACACTCCTACCTTGTCAGTCCACCTTGTAGATGTAAAGTCAGAGACGATAGCTCATCTGCTGCTGCACAGTTTGTGTTGGTCATCCTCTAGTCCTTCATCAGTGGTCACAGGACGCTGTTTTTCTGGATATTTTTGGTTGGTGGACTATTCTCAGTCCAGCAGTGACACTGAGGTGTTTAAAAACTCCAGCAGCACTGCTGTGTCTGATCCACTCAGACCAGCACAGCACACACTAGCACACCACCACCACGTCAGTGTTACTGCAGTGCTGAGAATGACCCACCACCCAAATAGTACCTGCTCTGTGAGGGTCCATGGGGGTCCTGACCACTGAAGAACAGGGTAAAAGGGGGCTAACAAAGTATCAGAGAAACAGATGGACTACAGTCTGTAACTGTAGAACTACAAAGTGCACCTATATAGTAAGTGGAGCTGATAAAATGGACAATGAGCGTAGAAACAAGGAGGTGGACTTCATGACATGGCCGGTCGGTGTGTATATAAGTGTATATTATATATAGGACATATAATTATTACATATGAGTACTTGATGTCATGCATATGAGGCATTTACATGACATTGATTGTATTATTATTATTATTATTTATTATTATTATTATTATTATTATTATTGTTATTACCACATAGATTACAGTGCAGCAGGCTAACAAAGCAGAACACTGCTAAACCTCTGTTTTAGTTTCCTTGTCCATGATGTGTCCATTACATGCACTCAGTACTCCGATCATAACGCCGCGAGACGCAGCGAAACACTTTTGGAGCGACGCTGAAACCAAATATATGCTTGAGGAAATAAAGGATTTGAATATTCTTCATCTTCTAGATGATGTTTGTTCGTATTTTCAGATAAAGTGGTGCGATGTTTAAAAAAAGCTGTGGTATGAAGTTTGAGTTTCGTGTCGTCTTCTGTGAGTTTATTGGCTGGTCATAAAGCAGAAATCTGATTACTGTCTGACTCATGTAGACCTGGAGTTTCCCCATTATCTGATTACTCAAGTGCATATAAACGTGTTGATCAGATTACTGACAAAACCTGATTTTCTGCAGTTATCAGATTTTTAGGTAAATGTAAACACAGTCAGTTCAGATGTTTAATGTGATCTTATATAATATTATCTGTGTTTCATGAAACTTGCTTCACAGAGTTGAGACAGTTGCATCTGAGTTTCAGTCTAGTTTCAAGTGAATCACAGGGTTGTTGCAGGTTATGCAGCTCAAGATGCCTCAAAATTAGTTTTCAGTCAAGTGATGTTGCTCTAAAGTTTCACCATGTAAAGCCAGCCTGAAGATCCTCTTTCCTGACTCCATTCTGAGTCCTGTTTGTAACTGTTTCAGTCCAAGTCACTTCACTCGGAGTGGTCTGAGTGGCTTTGGCTGGACGTTTTTACTGTCTTAAAGGATTAGTAAATGAAAAATATGCAGTTTTCCCCTTTTAACCCGCATGAGGTCGGTCAGCCAGGACGTGTTTGGTGACCAAATTTAGCTCCTTTAGTTTAGAGCTGGAGCTACACGGTTGTTGTTGCTAGCAAACACTGAAAACCAATAGTCACCCAAATCTTTTCTTTAAATTCATCCCCCCAAACTCTCAACAGGGACAGATAATGAGGGTCAGAGTTCAGAACGACAGCTGGTTAAGTGTCTCGCTGCTGCTTTCAGCCCCACAGTGGAGTTTTATTCATGTTTACAGCTCACGCTGAGCTCTAAACCAGGTCTGGCCCACCTTAGTGAGGACCTGTGTGTGGTCTGGGTGGGTGTGATATCAGCCTTGGAGCTCCAGTTTGGGACTAGAGGAGTAAAGGTGTCCTGGCTGGTGGAAACTGGTGGGATCAGAGGGAAACTGGGTAAATTTGATTTTTCTCTGAACCTCTGCTGTAATGTTAACTTTAGCTCACACAGCTGTGTGTGTGTTTGTTCAGGTGTGTGATGTGGACCCTGACGATCCTCTGGTCCGGTATCTCTGCGCTCTGTGTTCCAGCAGCACAGTCTGTCGCCAGCTCTGTCTCACCTGCTCACTGCGCTCGCACAGACCAGGTAGTGGATTATTTACATTGATTACAGTGTGTGGAATTATGATGAACAGACCAATAGAAACACTCCAAATGACCTTTTCATCAACTTCCATTACAAGTAAAAAATACTATATATGTATCACTGCTTCAGAAGAAAACCTCATATCTCAGAATAGTAACTTTACAGGAGAAGGAAAAACATACTGTACTTTTAATGTAAGTCAGTGGAACCAGACGTCTTTTCACATAATTTGGGCTCTTTAGATCCGGCTTACAGATATATATATATGTATGTATATATGTATGTATGTATGTGTGTGTTGGGGGACATTTTTTTGTTATTAATAATTATTAATAGGTATAGATGCTTACATACATAATACATATGGGACCTCACAGTGTGTGTGTGTGTGTGTGTGTGCGTGTGTGTGTGTGTGTGTGTGTGTGTGTGTGTTTCAGAGAAAGCTCAGCTGAGGAAAGTGAGCCGAGGAGAGAGAGAGTTCCTCACCAAGTTTCCACAGAGTCTTCAGCTGCACTGCACACACATCCACACCTCACACTGACACACACACACACAAACATCCACACCTCACACTGACACACACACACACACACACACACAAACACACGCACACACACATGCACACACATCCACACCTCACACCCCACACACTGACACACACGTCCACACCTCACACCACACGAACTGAAACACACACACACACACACACAAACACACACACCTCATACTCCACACACTGACACACTCATCCACACCTCACACTACACAAAATGAAACACACACACACACACACACACACCTCATACTCCACACACTGACACACTCGTCCACACCTCACACTACACGAAATGAAACACACACACACACACCTCATACTCCACACACTGAAACACACACTCTACAGCACTACTCCACTCCAGACTCCAGCGCTGCAGTAGCAGAGCAGTGGTGGAGGATGTGAGGGTTGACCGTTGATCATGTGAGATGCAGTATTGTTAATAAGACGCTGCCTCTCTGAATGTGTTTTATATTGTCATAGAGATTCATAGAAACTGACTGACTAAATAATCTGACAAAATGACCCGTCTAAATATTACTTTATGCATGTTTATTTTATGTATTTTCAGTCTGTTTTTCCTGAAATTATGTATTTATTTGTTTCGAAATTAAATGTGTTTGAACCAGCAAAGAAATGAACTAAAATCATGTAAAACAATTAAAGTGAAACGTAAACATTACAGAAGATCAGTGCAAAGAGAAAATGACTACAGCTCTGCTCCCTGACCAATGACTGAGTGGGACTGTGTGGGGGGGTGGGGCTTCTGTGAAGACGAGCAGTTAGTGGGTGGGGTTTGTGAGGGCACAGATAGAGGCCTGTCAGTTAGGAAGGACAGACAGGCGGACGGACAGACGCAGCGCTGCTCCTGATCGAGTGAGTGTGTTTTAACAGCTGTAACTGTCCACTTACTTACGGCTCCTGCTTGGTTGGTTTGGAGTGTGTTAGTAATCTCAGGTGAGGTGCTTTTCAGTGTGCGGTTGGTTTGAAGTCCGTCTGTTTGGGCGGTGGGCCGGAGGGGTCTGTTGTTGGCTGGTCTGAGGCCAGTATTGATCGGGAATGAGGCCAGTGTCGAAAAGATCAAGTCTAGTTTGATCACTGATTGCTTTTTCGGGGTTGGTCAGCTGGAAGATGAGTTTATTTTTGCAGGTTTTGTTGGTGATGTGTTCTTCTGTTTAAATGTTCTGGAGTTAAGGGTGGGCGATACAGCAGTGTGTTGTCAATATTGTGATAAATTACCTCACGATACTCTTTTTTTGTGTAAATCGCAGCTGTCGGAACAAAACCTCGTATCTCCAAAATGGTGACTTTACAGGAGAAGGAAAAAACATACTTTACTTTTAATGCAAGTCAATGGAACCAGACATTTTCCAAGTAATTTAGGCTTTTCTTTTAGTCTATTCATCATGAAATTTACACACAATGTAAAGAACAACACGTATTTACAAACTATGCCAAAAACTGAAAAACAGCAAAGATGGAGATACACGGTTTTGTTCCGACAGCAGCGATATGACGGCTATGAGCAGTAAGTCTAGAGCACAACAGAGTCATAAAAGAGATTTTAAGCAATTACAGAGAGCCTGTAGATACAACAACCAGTGTACAGTACCTACATAAACTGCACAGTAACAAGTATAACTGTTTTTTTTAGTTTGTATGTTTTTTAGGTTTTGCTGCAGCTTCTTAATTTATTTTATGAATGTTAAATTGAAAATCCCTGTACTCAGTTTTTCAGCCTTGTCTAAATGCAGCTCTGCTGTTTCGTTGGTTTATTTTTTTCACTCCAACTTGATCACAAACCTTAAACACTGAATATTAAGATTCATATCATGCATGGTGAAATGGTGAAAATAGTGAAAGTGCCCCACGTGTGGTGGTGATGTGTTTTCATTGAGCCTTTGTTGTCGTCCTCTGTTGTTTTGTTTTCTTCATTCATTAATTATCGTTATTATACTGAGTGTCACTCAGAGTCTCTGTGCAGTTTAGAGATATTTAATTGATTTTCAGTTACATTTGTAATTAGCTGGTCTGTCTGCAGAGTCGCTACACTTTCAACCTACTTTTTACCACCATTACTTTCAGAGTAGTTTACAAAGTCTAAAACCTAATTTCACGGCCATCATAGCCAAGTTACACTCCTAAAAAGGTGGTTCTTCAAGGGTTCTTTAGTAAAGGTTCCTTGAGTGTTAATTGTTCTATGTAAAACCGTTGTCTTTACTAAAGAACCTTTGAGGAACCATCTTTTTAAGAGGTTACGTTATTGTGATAAATTATGTCACAGTGAGTTTGTTTATGAGTTTATATGTCGTTGAAATCGTCAGCACTTTTAACTCAGCTGCATGTTTGATTACAAAGAGAGCATCATCAGTCCTGTTTAATCGGGTTTAATGTAGCACTGTATGAAATGTTTAATATAAATCATTGTATTAATAGTTTTTCTGTATTGTGATATTACATTTTTCCCACATTTCCGAGCTCTAGATAGATTCTTATAACACCAGTGTAGCATTTTAAGAAAGACCCTTTTAAATTTTAAAATACAGACTGTAAGAAATTTCACCAGCACAACTAACAGCACTAAACGATTAACTATATGTACCGTACAGTGCAAAGGTCAGAGACAATCCAGTTAAACCAGCCACTAAGTACAGGTTATTATTCCTTCAGCAGAAGATTATATACAGGAAAACCCACCTGCATCAGGAAGGAGAAAGAGTGAAAAACACAGGAGTTTCCAAAACTGGATTTTGGATTTTAAAACTGATTAAAAGCTACAGAGAAAATGTGTCTCCTAACAACCACCTGGAACAGCTGGTAGACCCCAAAACTGCCCCCATCAGATAAACAGCACTTAAAGCTTTCATCTCTGAGAGAGAGGAGAAAATCAAGCTGATCAGATCTGAAAACATCCACAGGTGTTTCTGTCCATCCTTCCACTGTGAGAAGACGACTCAGCGCTGTGGGTCTGAAAGGATGTGTAGCTGATCAAGAAGAACCTCACTGAGAAAAGGAGACGGACACATCAAACAAAGAAGCTGAACGATGGACTGACCACCCCAGAGTCCAGACCTCAACACCACTGAATCTGTTTGATTACTTCAGAAAATCATTGACCAGCTTCTAAGACTGAACTTTGGAGGTGTGTCTGCAGATTCTTTGAGGAACTCAATGTGAGGCTCCTGAAGAGAATGGAGGCTGGAATACAGGTAAAGAGTGACTCACTGACTCACACAGCTGAGAGTAGGTTTAGCTGCTGAGGATTCTGGGTAATTTTCTGTGAAATGTGTTTTTTTGCTTTCTCTCTGACAGTGAAGAACAACCTCGCGGCCCCTTGACTGGAAATGAAAGGAATGAAGGGTGGTCTCTGACTTTTGCACAGTACTGTACACAATTCAGACAAAATGTCAGATAAGATTGAGATCAGAGGTGTAAAATGCTTAATTGTTGAGTTTGGGGTTTGAGTTATGGTTGTATGTCAGTACTGTGTTGGATTTGGGCCTAATATTTAGCTCAGCGAGTGGACGCGTGGTTTGTGGTTCAAACAGCACTGTGTGTGTGTGTGTGTGTGTGTGTGTGTGTGAGACTGATGTGTGTGTTAAGCATGACTGTGTGCACATTACAAAACTACCATCTCTCTTTAAAGATAACCCCTTCAAAGAGAGACCCTCACTCTACGCAGAAATGACAACCCCCCCGCAACAACCAACATATGCAGGGCTGACACTGACAATTATAAACCAGAACTGATAATAAACCTGATTGTTTCTGGCCTGAAAGAAAAAGAGGTGAAATTGTGTTTGTCTTTAGACACACAGATCAGATAGGAGGAGCACAAACTGTGTACACAACACTGCACTGTACAGTACTGCACATTAATACGGCTAATTTTGTTCACTTATACATAAAAACAGGTGCAAATCTGCAAAAGTGCACATTCACAGTCATAATCTGGTGCTAAATCTCACCTTTGAGCTCTTTTTTTGAGTCTTTAAAAAGACTACACTTAGAAAGACTATGAGGTAATAAGTGTGTGTAAATGGATGTGTTGATCAGACTCTGGTTCTGTGTATAAGAGAGACGGCACTGGCAGCTTATCACTGCTGATTCACTCTCAGAATCTCTCTGGTTCCTAAAAGGTTCTTGGCTTGGATGTACAGTTGTATGAAAATCCTTTAATTGGTTAATAAATATAAAACCTTACAACCTCATGCAGCAAAACAGTAGAATATATAATGAAAAACAATCAAATACAAACCACAAAGCTCATAAATGTATCAACACAAATTCTCTCATTCATGGCCCTGATCAGCCCAGGACTCTTATTGGTATAATGTAGGGTTAGGAGTCTAGCCCAGGACTCTTATTGGTATAATGTAGGGTTAGGAGTCTAGCCCAGTGACTCTTATTGGTATAATGTAGAGTTAGGAGTCTAGCCCAGGGACTCTTATTGGTATAATGTAGGGTTAGGAGTCTAGCCCAGTGACTCTTATTGGTATAATGTAGGGTTAGGAGTCTAGCCCAGTGACTCTTATTGGTATAATGTAGAGTTAGGAGTCCAGCCCAGTGACTCTTATTGGTATAATGTAGGGTTAGGAGTCTAGCCCAGTGACTCTTATTGGTATAATGTAGAGTTGGAGTCTAGCCCAGTGACTCTTATTGGTATAATGTAGAGTTAGGAGTCCAGCCCAGTGACTCTTATTGGTATAATGTAGGGTTAGGAGTCTAGCCCAGGACTCTTATTGGTATAATGTAGAGTTGGAGTCTAGCCCAGTGACTCTTATTGGTATAATGTAGAGTTGGAGTCTAGCCCAGTGACTCTTATTGGTATAATGTAGAGTTGGAGTCTAGCCCAGTGACTCTTATTGGTATAATGTAGGGTTAGGAGTCTAGCCCAGTGACTCTTATTGGTATAATGTAGAGTTAGGAGTCCAGCCCAGAGACTCTTATTGGTATAATGTAGAGTTGGAGTCTAGCCCAGTGACTCTTATTGGTATAATGTAGGGTTAGGAGTCTAGCCCAGTGACTCTTATTGGTATAATGTAGGGTTAGGAGTCTAGCCCAGGGACTCTTATTGGTATAATGTAGAGTTGGAGTCTAGCCCAGTGACTCTTATTGGTATAATGTAGAGTTGGAGTCTAGCCCAGTGACTCTTATTGGTATAATGTAGAGTTGGAGTCTAGCCCAGTGACTCTTTTTGGTATAATGTAGAGTTGGAGTCTAGCCCAGTGACTCTTATTGGTATAATGTAGGGTTGGAGTCTAGCCCAGTGACTCTTATTGGTATAATGTAGAGTTGGAGTCTAGCCCAGTGACTCTTATTGGTATAATGTAGGGTTGGAGTCTAGCCCAGTGACTCTTTTTGGTATAATGTAGAGTTGGAGTCTAGCCCAGTGACTCTTTTTGGTATAATGTAGGGTTGGAGTCTAGCCCAGTGACTCTTATTGGTATAATGTAGGGTTGGAGTCTAGCCCAGTGACTCTTATTGGTTCCATAATTAATCACAGCGTTTGGGTTTTGAACACTGATGTCTATTTGATTGTACAGTGATAGTTCCTCCTCATGTTTGGCTTTGGTTATGCAGCTTTACTGATAAATCTTTCTGAATGGACAGTCCAGCCTGGAAGATTAGAGCTGATTTAAAGTGGTACAGGAGCGTGTCTGAAACTGGATTTATGGTAATGTCTGTAAGTTGTGGGAGCCGATGTAAGATCTGATTTAGCCTTGCTGTGTCTGCTTCAGTTGTGTCAGAGTTTCTGAGATGTTAGTGTTGGGGGGAGGGGGGGGGCATTTCCTGTGTTTGCCATGTCGTTATCAAAGTTAACCTGACCAAACAAGGACCACAAACTTTCCTGACCTCGTTAGGCCTCTGCACCAATCAGAGCCCTCCGCTCCTGAATTCAAATGCGTATCGCAGAGCTCTCTGTAGAAGTGTATGATCACTGTGTTTGTGTTTATAGGGACATTTTCTGTCTTTGATCTCTCACTCGTGTGGGGGGGGTGCGGTGGTTGGTTGAGGGGGTCTGACTCCTTTAATTATGGCTGAGTGAAGCTCCATGTGAGAAGTGTGTTTGCTGAGGTTCAGCCTGGTTCCTGTGTGGCTGCTGTTAGCCGTAACTGTGTGTGTGTGTGTGTGTGTGTGTGTGTGTGTGTGTGTGTGTGTGTGTGTGTGTGTGTGTGTGTGTGTGTGTGTTAGACAGTGCAGTGTGCAGGGTGGGGTGGAGGGCTTTTATCTCTCTCTCAGCCTCTTTCCTGTGTCTGCTGAGAAGGAGAGATAGAGATGGAGAGAGGTGGAAGTGTGTGAGAGATGGGGGGATGTGACCTCCCTGATTGGTCAGAAGTGAGTGTCAGTATTTCTGTTATTGCATCACATCCAGAGCCGTGTTGATCCAGCAGGACGCAATCTGGAAATTCCCTTCAGACAGTACTGGAAACTCTGGGTAAATACTGGACACTTTCCATTAACCCCTTAACACTCAGTTATTAATCTGCACTCTTCCACGAATTATTCAGTTACTGATATGAATTATTCAGCAGCTACAATAATGCTTCAGTACCCATCAGAAATTATTCAGTAACTTATTGATTATTCGTTATACTACTGTACCACTGTGAATTATTCAGTGGCTATTATGAATTATTCAGTGTCTACCATACATTATTTAGTACCTACTATGAATTATTCAGTATCTACTATGAATTATTCAGTGTCTATTATGAATTATTCAGTGTCTACTATACATTATTCAGTACTTACTATACATTATTTAGTACCTACTATGAATTATTCAGTGTCTATTATGAATTATTCAGTGCCTACTATACATTATTCAGTGTCTACATTATTTAGTACCTACTATGAATTATTCAGTATCTACTATGGATTATTCGGTGTCTATTATGAATTATTCAGTGTCTACATTATTCAGTACTTACTATACATTATTTAGTACCTACTATGAATTATTCAGTATCTACTATGAATTATTCGGTGTCTATTATGAATTATTCAGTGTCTACTATACATTATTTAGTACCTACTATGAATTATTCAGTATCTATTATGAATTATTCAGTGTCTGCTATACATTATTCAGTACTTACTATACATTATTAAGTACCTACTATGTATTATTCAGTATCTACTTTGAATTATTCAGTATCTACTATGAATTATTCAGTAGATACTATGATTTAGTCAACATCTACTATGAATTATTTGGTATCTACTATGAATTATTCAGTGTCTGCTATAAATGATCTATTATCTATTATGAATGATTCACTGTTTACTATGAACGATTCAGTAGCTATTATGAGTAAACCTGTCCAGCACAGACGCCCCTGACCTCCTCTCTGACCCTCTGGTTTAACTGATCTGGCTGAGCAGTTTATGTTGACCTGCTGGGTAAATAAAGCTCTTCACTCTCAGAGTTACTACCAGCTCTGAAGTGTTATTTATAGCAGGAGAGCTGTGGGTCCTGTAGGGGGCGACACTTACGCTCTTTCTGCAGCACTGATGAGGTGAATGATGCAATAGGTGCAGGTCACTGTGCTGGAGTTGAACGTTCTGCTGTTCCTCAAGGTCACAGTGCACTGGAGTGTCCGGAACAGGCGGTTACAGAGCGAAAATTCGGGAATTACACTGCCTGCCAAAAGTTTGGGGACACATCTTTTAAAAATCTCAGAGTAAAGTTTGATTTTCACTGTTGCTTTTTAATTCAAGCGTATATATTTGTGGCTGCATATTGAAGCACTACTGCAGCCACGAAAAGCAGAGAATATTCAGATTAAGAGGAAGTTCTGCGTTTGTTGAGTTTTCTGTGAGGGCAAAAAACAGGACCTTTTTCCTTACACCGTAATTCCACTGTTTTGTGAGCTTTTCTGAGGACGGTGATGATGTAAAGCAGGCTTTACCACACTTCTTTCTCCTTTTTGTTTAAATTTTTCAATTTTATCTCACTATTTTATAATAACTGTTTTATTTGACGTTAAGTTTTTTACTGTTCCATTCTAGTAAATCGTTAGGTTTTTCTAAAATTTTAGTTTTCTTATTGTTTATTATCTAATTTGTGCTTTTTTCATTTTTTACATTTCAGATTTCATTGATGTTTTATGCCTGTTTCAAATTTGAGCTGTTATTTTAATCTTTTTATTATTTATATTTTTATCTTCTTGTCTTGCTGTTTTTCATTTCAGTTGATAAATGTCATCTTTTAATCCCTGTGTAATTTGCCCGACTACATTGTAAATGAAGATCACTCTCAATGCACTTCTGAGACAAAATAAAGATTGATTGATTGATTGATTGATTGATAGTCATAAGCTGCCTGTGTGTGTTGGTGTGTGTTGCAGGTGGAGGCTGTGATGGCTGATCCTGTGAGGAGGCTGCTGACCGGGGTGAGTATAATCAACACTACCAGCGCGAGCTGAACACTAACTCCAGCACTAAAGGGCCGGTGTCCTACATTTATCTCGTGTTTCATTTTCTCCACCTGAGGTCCAAAGGTAGCGTTTATGGGCTTCTGTGCACCAAAAACAGCTCATTTTCCAGCCTCACTGAGATTTATCCCTTAGAAATAATCAGGCTGTTTCTGTTACTGGGCCTTTAAGACTGATATATGTAAATGAGCTCTGTTCTGGTTGGCTGTCCTCTACTGAGCCATTTACTTCAAACTCGTCAGTTTTCCATGATATCGGCCCTTTAAACCAGAATTATGCACTGATAATCAGGGATGCGCAAGCTAAAGTTAGCAGATAGCCACTGTCATTCAGTACAGTGATAACATCATCAGAGGAGATGGTATGTAAAGCTATTTATCTGAGCAGTAAGCATGTTAACATTATAATAAGTATGAATAAATTAATAATCCACTGTGATTTGATCAGTGTTGGAGGTAAAGCAGTACAAAGGAACGCATTACAGTGATGTGATTAGCATTACACTTTAAATCACACCACAGCTACAGACTTTCACTAACGGTCAGACCCTCCTAAACCCCCCTGTTTGACCCTGCAGGGCTTTAGAGACGTTAATGTTTCAAACAAGAATCAAACTCTTCAGTACAGCTGTCTCACTGCACTCCTTTACAGTCTCTCTCGCCCATCTCTCTTTCTCAGTCTCCCGGGGGCGGAGCCCAGGCAGACGAGGGGGTGGAGGAAGGGGGCGGGGCCAGAGAGCGTAAAACTCGAGTGGAGATGAAGCTCGTCCAACCAAGATCAGAGGACAGCTCGGAGGTGGGGCTTACTAATGACATCACAGCTATGATGCTACGGCATCAAGTGGACCGCAGGAAGGCCGCTCTGTATCTCACACTGATCGGCCTGCTCATATTCACCACAGGTACACACACACACACACACACACACACACAGTCTACCTGAACAATTAAAGGGGAAATCCACCAGTTTTTCAAAATTTCTGCATAATTCAGCATTTAAGATGTAAACAGAGAGATTCAGAGTGGTTTGGTGTGAGATGGTTCAGATGTCTTTACAGTGGTGGTGATAGAAACCAGGGGTCGCCATGACTACAACACAAATATAGACATTTTATTTACTATCCAGAACCACCAGTGAACCTACACGAGTCTTCTGAGTTTATATGGAATGTTGATGATGGAAAATAGTGGAAAATCTGAAATAATAAGTTTTCTTTGGGGACTATTTTGCCTCACAGCGCCCTGCATGTATCCCTCCACCATGAATGGAGTTTAAGTTCTCTAAACTATCATAAAACAGTGTCTCAGTCATCAGGCAGTGAATTCATAACCATTTCCTGTAGGAACTTTCTGTGAGGGAGCTTTTAGAGGTGGACGTCTGGTTCCTATCACCACCACTGTGAACAGTTCTGACTCGGAAAGTTTATCTAGAACGGAGCGTTTCACACCAAACCACTCTGAACCACTCTGAACCGCTCTGTTTACATCTCTTCAATGATGAATTTTTTGAGAAATCGGTGGAGTTCCCCTTTCATTACTCTGTGCTCAGCGTGTCTCTCAGCAGATTGACTGTGTGATGTTCCTCATCCTCCTCTCTGCAGCGTTCCTGCTGGGTTACGTCTCGTTCCGTGGAATGTGCCGCTTGTGTGTGGAGGAGGGAGAGATGGTGCCGGTGGAGGACCCCGCCGGACCGGACCAGTCCGCGGGGGGAGGGGCGATGTACCTGGGGGAGCTGAGGGACATGCTGAAGAAATACCTGAACGAGGAGAAGATAGAGAGCACAGTCCGGTCAGAGCACAGACTCCGCCCACAGACACAGTCTTTCATAGCTACTGTTGCTAGGGTGAACAAGCTTTACATCATGTTGGTAATTCAGACCAATGAGATGCTAGAACAGGTGTAGTTGGTCTCCCTCTAGTCCTGTTAGGTCCTGTTGGTACCGATCCTGCACCACACCATAAAACTGGACCTTTCAGTGCTGGACTGGTGGCCAGTGGAGACAGTACAGGTCCAGCGTTAAATGTGTATTTGTCCTGCAGGCGCGTGAGCAGAGCGACCCACCCGACAGGCTCCGCAGAGGGAAACGCTTTAGCCAGTGAGATTCTGCAGAGCTTCCAGAAACTCCACCTGGACCACACCTGGACAGACTCGCACTACGCTACACTGCAGTTCCCCTCCAGGTGTGTGTGTGTGTGTGTGTGTGTGTGTCCACCAGCCTGCACAGTGCCTTGTTAACAACTGGGGTCCTTGGCTTCATGGGGCCTGTGACACAAACCTGACCATCAGCCCAGAACAGTGTTGCCACGCCACATGTTGCCAGTCCTCTAGGGTCCAGTTAGCAACCTCACGAGCCCAGGTGAGGCGCTGTGTCCGGAGTCATGGTGTTAACAGAGGCTCTCTGGAGGGTCTTCTGCTCCCAGATCCCATAGAAGCTAAAGAAGCTGCACTGCCCTGTGGGATGTGCGTGTGGGGCCTCCTGCACTGAATGTGGATGTGATTTCTGCCAGAGTCGCTTGTCTGTTTGCTCAGACAGTTCTAGCCAGACGCCGCCTGTCACCATCGTTAAGCACCCGTGGGTGGACACTGCGCTGTCCACTGTGGGTGGTAAAGTATTCCTGGTACACACGTGACACTGTGGATCGAGGAATGTTAAACGCCCACACAACTTCGGAAATGGAATGTCCCTTCCATATGTATATATATATATATATATATCTGCTGTCAGAATAAAACCTTATATTTTCATTTTTTACATAATGTGAAAATGCCTGTGGTCCTTTACATTGTGTGTAAATTTCATGAAGAATGGACCAAAAGAAACGACCCAAAGTGACTTGGAGAAACGTCTGGTTCCATTGACTTACATTAAAAGTAGAGTAGGTTTTTTCCTTCTCCTGTAAAGTTACCATTTGGGAGATACGAGGTTTTGTTCCAACAACAGTGATGTATATAAGACATATGTGTGTGTGTGTGTGTGTGTGTGTGTGTGTGATTATCCTTGTATATGTGTGTTTCAGGACTCAGAGGAATGCTCTGTGGTTGGTGGATGCAGAGGGGGTGGAGCTAGAGGAGATTTCTTTAGACAGTGCTGACTACTGCGCGTACAGCGCTACGGGAACAGCCACGGTAACCATGGCGACACCATGGCAACTGCTTCACTACACAAATTATAATAGTGTAGACCAGTGGTCACTGTTGTCTATATAAATGGACAACACCACGTCGCAAAGCTAAAGCAGTAGCAGCCGGTGTTGAGCCTGAACCGTGTGTGTATCGTGTGTGTGCTGTGTGTGCTGTGTGTGCTGTGTGTGTTGTGTGTGTCTGTGTGTGTTTATGTGTATTGTGTGTGTACTGTGTGTGTACTGTGTGTGTATTATGTGTATATTGTGTGTGTACTGTGTGTGTACTGTGTGTATACTGTGTGTGTATTGTGTGTATATTGTGTGTGTATGTATTGTGTGTACTGTGTGTATCTGTGTGTGTGTGTATATTGTGTGTCTGTGTATACTGTGTGTATGTGGTATTGTGTGTACTGTGTGTATACTGTGTGTGTATTGTGTGTGTACTGTGTGTGTATTATGTGTATATTGTGTGTACTGTGTGTATACTGTGTGTGTATTGTGTGTATATTGTGTGTACTGTGTGTATACTGTGTGTGTATTGTGTGTGTACTGTGTGTGTATTATGTGTATATTGTGTGTACTGTTTGTGTACTGTGTGTATACTGTGTGTATACTGTGTGTGTATTATGTGTATATTGTGTGTGTACTGTGTGTGTACTGTGTGTGTATTGTGTGTGTACTGTGTGTATATTGTGTGTACTGTGTGTATACTGTGTGTGTACTGTGTGTGTACTGTGTGTATTGTGTGTATATTGTGTGTGTACTGTGTGTATACTGTGTGTGTATTGTGTGTATATTGTGTGTACTGTGTGTATACTGTGTGTGTATTGTGTGTGTACTGTGTGTGTATTATGTGTATATTGTGTGTACTGTTTGTGTACTGTGTGTGTACTGTGTGTGTACTGTGTGTGTATTGTGTGTGTACTGTGTGTATATTGTGTGTACTGTGTGTATACTGTGTGTGTACTGTGTGTATTGTGTGTATATTGTGTGTGTACTGTGTGTATATTGTGTGTACTGTGTGTATACTGTGTGTGTATTGTGTGTGTACTGTGTGTATATTGTGTGTACTGTGTGTATACTGTGTGTATTGTGTGTGTACTGTGTGTATATTGTGTGTACTGTGTGTATACTGTGTGTGTATTGTGTGTGTACTGTGTGTATTGTGTGTATATTGTGTGTGTACTGTGTGTATATTGTGTGTACTGTGTGTATACTGTGTGTGTACTGTGTGTATTGTGTGTATATTGTGTGTGTACTGTGTGTATATTGTGTGTACTGTGTGTGTACTGTGTGTATACTGTGTGTGTATTGTGTGTGTACTGTGTGTATATTGTGTGTACTGTGTGTATACTGTGTGTATTGTGTGTGTACTGTGTGTATACTGTGTGTACTGTGTGTGTACTGTGTGTATTGTGTGTACTGTGTGTATACTGTGTGTATTGTGTGTGTACTGTGTGTATACTGTGTGTGTATTGTGTGTGTACTGTGTTGTGTGTGTGTACTGTGTGTATATTGTGTGTACTGTGTGTATACTGTGTGTGTGTGTATGTGTTGTGTGTATTGTGTGTATATTGTGTGTGTTCTGTGTGTGTCTCTGTGCAGGGGGGTGTGGTGTATGTAAATTACGCTCGTCAGGAGGATTTTGAGCAGCTGCGGGCTCTGGGCGTGGCTCTGAACGACTCTATCGCCATGGCGAGGGTGGGAGGAGGCGTGTCCTTTGCTGAGAAGGTGTGGCATGCACAGGAGGCGGGGCTTGTGGGAATTCTTATTTACCCTGATCCTGCGGACATCCCACAGGATCCGCGGCGACTTGGTCTCCATGGCAACGCTGTGATCTCCGAGCACGTATGTCTACAGAGAACAGAGAGGCCGACTACAGAAACAGAGCTTAGAACATCTGAGTTAAATTATTATTAAATTATAGCAGTTATTATAACTTAGTTATTAAATTATAGCAGTTATTATAACAATTTTATCATTTATGATTATTTGTTTTGTTGATATCGTTGTTGTTATTAGTGACGTTAGCAGTGAGTAATGTACTAATTAATATATGTGTGTGCAGGTACACCTGGGCTCAGGTGATCCTTTCACACCTGGATTTCCCTCCTTTAACCACACCCAATTCCCGCCCACACAGTCCTCAGGCCTGCCACTCATCCCGGCTCAGCCAATCAGTGCCAACGTCGCCTCCAAACTGCTGAGGTAGACCCGCCCCCTCATTAACACCTCATAAAGAACACTTTGACTGAGCAGAGACGGTGAAGAGACCTAAACCTTATCACACTGTAATTCACAGCTCTCTCTCTCTCTGTACTGTCTCTGTGTCTCTCTCTCTCTCTCTCTCTCTCTCTCTGTACTCACTCTGTCTCTCTCTCTCTCTGTGTCTCTCTCTGCACTCTGTCTCTGTGTCTCTCTCTCTCTCTGCACTCTGTCTCTGCGTCTCTGTCTCTCTCTCTCTCTCTCTGTACTGTCTCTGCGTCTCTCTCTCTCCCTGTACTCTGTCTCTGTGTCTCCCTCTCTCTGTACTCACTCTGTCTCTCTCTCTCTCTCTCTTTGTCTACTCACTCTGTCTCTGTCTCTCCCTCTCTCTGTACTCACTCTGTCTCTCTCTCTCTCTTTGTCTACTCACTCTGTCTCTGTCTCTCTCTCTCTCTCTGTACTCTGTCTCTGTGTCTCTCTCTCTCTGTACTCACTCTGTCTCTCTCTCTCTCTCTCTCTCTCTCTCTTACTGTACTCTGTACTGTCTCCATGTCTCTCTCCCTCTCTCTCTGTACTCACTCTGTCTCTCTCTCTCTTTCTCTGTACTCAATCTGTCTCTCTCTCTCTCTGTACTCACTCTGTCTCTCTCTCTCTTTGTCTACTCACTGTCTCTCTCTCTCTCTCTTTGTCTACTCACTCTGTCTCTGTGCCTCTCTTCTGTACTCTGTCTCTGTGTCTCTCTCTCTCTGTACTCTGTCTCTGTGTCTCTCTCTCTCTGTTCTCTGTCTATGTGTCTCTCTCTCAGTCAGTTAGTGGGCGTGGCGTGTCCGCGGGGCTGGCAGGGTCGGTTGCCGTATGTGCGGTGTGTTGTGGGTCCGGAGTTCTCTGTCGGGGGCCGCCAGGTGAAGATGGCTGTGTATAACAGCATGAGCCCCGTCCTGCTCAACAACATCTTCGCCTCCATCGAGGGAAAGACTGAACCAGGTCAGACGCGCTGGACAGAGTACAGGCTTATTACTGTTACACGCAGAAATATGGAGAGAGAGAGAGAGAGAGAAAGATATATATATATATCCACCAATACATATATATATATATCTATATATCTATGTATCTATATATATACATATATATATATATATATATATATGTGTATATATATATATATATATATATATATATATATATAGATAGATAGATACATAGATAGATTAGAACACGTCTGCACACTTTACTTATCTACTGTACATTGTGGCTGTTGCAAAAATGATGGCACATTTTATACTTTGTTTTATTTTGTTTTTTACAATATTTTAAATTCAGCAAGTACATCAAAATTGTGCACTAAATTAGCATGTATATGGATGTATTTATATATATATGTATGTATGTATGTATGCAGATATATTGCATAAGGCATGTACTATTATATGTAGGTACTTGGTCATAACATCATACTTATGAACATCTCTCTGTCTCAGATCAGTATATAATAATGGGGGCTCAGAGGGACGCGTGGGGTCCGGGGGCTGTGAAGGCTGGAGTGGGAACAGCCGTCCTGCTGGAGCTCGCACGCACCTTCAGCACCATGCTGCAGAACGGTAAACCCACCACAAACCACCATAATACCACCACACACCACCATAAACCCACCACTGACCCATCTTAAACCCACCATAATCATACTATAATCCCACCATAATCCCACCACAAACCCATTCCAAACACACCATAATCCCAGTTTAAACCCACCACAATCCTACCACAAACCCACCATAATCCCATCATAATTCTTTCACAAACCCATTTTAAACCCACCATAAACCCACCATAATCCTGTCATAATCTCACCACAAACCCACCATAAACTCACCACAAACTCATATTAAACCCACCTAATCCTATCGTAATCCCACCACAAACCCACCATAAACCCACCATAATCCTGTCATAATCTCACCACAAACCCACCATAAACTCTCCACAAACCCACCACAAACTCGCCACAAACCCACCACAAACTCACCACAAACCCATCTTAAACCCACCATAAACCCACCTTATCCCACAATAATCCCACCACAAACCCATTCCAAACCCACAATAATCCCACTTTAAACCTACCACAATCCTACCATAATCCTACCACAAACCCACCACAAACCCTCCACAAACCCACCACAAACTCGCCACAAACCCACCACAAACTCACCACAAACCCATCTTAAACCCACCATAAACCCACCATAATCCTATCATAATCCCTCCACAAACCCACAGTCAGTGGTCCAGCTGGTGGAGCTGATCTCTGTTCTCTCTGCAGGCTTTTACCCCAGACGCAGTCTGCTCTTCGTCAGCTGGGACGCTGGAGAGTTTGGAAATGTTGGTGCCACCGAGTGGCTGGAGGTGAGAAGTGCAGTGAAGGAGTCAGAAGTTTGGGGACACTGACCTTTTCAGACAGTTTTAATACAAAAGATCATTTTTTCTCTGTCGGTTTACAGTAGTTGACCATGTTAAAGCAGGTTTATACAGATGAGGAGAAAACATCCTCATTTCTGCCTGCACCCCTATGGAATTCGAGCAGTATGCTGGCTAATGGCCACTCACATTAACGCATTTTGGCCGTTCTAGATTAAACGCAGACGTGTGACTCTTGTAAAAGTCATTCTGAATGTTTTATCTGAATCTTGTAACAGACATTATCATATATCTGAGTCTGTCTTTATCAGTTTTATTCCTAACAACTAACCAGAACCTGCTTAGACTACAACTCGTATTCACAGTCAGTGACGTATCTAGACCCCCAGAAGGGCTACAGTGCCGTTTTCTTCTCACTCATTGTAAACTGATTGGTTGATTCCTCTGTCACTTCCTGATTGTGTTGGTAGTTAATCTAACGTGTGAGGCCTTCAGTCCAGCTCAATGGGAGAGCAGCTCAGCTGAATTTATCAACATACCACAGAGAAAACAATCCTGGTTAGCCCATTTTGCAACGAGATGAGACTTAGAGAATTCAAATATTTAAGAATTATACTACTGAAAAAGGAAAAGAACTAGAAATTACACTCACAATTATAGTTTAATTTGAAGACCCTAAAGTTTCCCCACTTCTAATATTATAATTATGGGAAAGCCCTGTATAATGGATAACGCTGCTGTCTCTGTTGCCAGGGTTACCTGTCCATGCTTCACCTGAAGGCTGTGGCCTATTTCAGTCTGGACCAGGCAGTTATGGGTAATGCTCTCTCAACCAATCAGCATCTGACACATCACATCTCATCACCATCCTCCAGGAGGATTAGAGGAGGCCGCGAGACTGCGGCTGCATCACGTCTGCTGTGTTTGTGTGTGTTCAGGTGATGATGCTCTGTCTGCGTACACCAGTCCTCTGCTGGCCGACCTCATCGAGGGAGCCATCAAACAAGTTTGTGTGTCTTTGCGCTCCAGTTCTGAGTGTTGTTATTTTTGTTATTTAGTGTTGCCCCTTCGGCCTAAACCAAAATCCAGTACACTTTTAGCTAAAAACGGCGACAATGAA